GTTTCCAGTGTATTCCTCCTATCTTTCTAATGTCATCTCCCCATCTCATCTGGGGTCGTCCTCTTGCTCTCTTTCCTGTCCATGGTCTCCAATGTTGTATCGTGTTGTTCCACCATATATATATATATATATATATATATATATATATATATATATAAAGTTTAGGCAAACAAATTCTATTACAACAAAGTTGTTACACAAAAAAAATTTAAGTATTATAGCATGGCCTTCAATAGTAAACAGTTTTTCTCATGTTTCCGAAAGTTGAGAAACGTGGATAATGTGAATTTTGCATCTATACAATTCAGTTATACCTACTCGAGGAATAATAATTAGTAAAAGTGTGCAGATGATGACCTAATCGCAAGATCAAGAAAAGAAATGATAGAGGCATTTAATCAAATAGAATGTGCTGCGCAAAATAGTGACCTTCAAATCATTAATGCCAAAACAAAACAAATGTACTCAAGTAAAAATGTAGAAATATTGCAGCTACAAAATTTAACAATATTTAACAATATCTAACAATAGGTCTAACAATCCTAAGATACTTATTTTTTACGAGGAATCCAAAAATTCACGAAATATTCGACCATCCTGCTTCTTTTATACGTATTATATAAAATCACTGTATTCAAATCAGCTTTTATACTATAATGTAAGTACAATTACAATTAAATGCGAGTTAAGGGAGTCTATCAAGGAATTGCCACGACGGAAAGCGTTTGGCAATGAATGACATAATTTTTAACAATATTCTGATGGAAATGTAAAGACTTACACCTTAATATTAGATAAATATAGGCTGGTATTTTACACACCTTTATTTCTGTTTAAATAGAGCTGGGAGTTAGACAAGGAGACCCAATGTCACCTAAACTTTTTAACACTTTGCTGGAACATGTTTTAAGGAATTTGGATTTGCTGACAACCCGAATAAAAATTTATGGATATTATCTAAACAACTTACAATTCGCGAGTAATATTGTCATAATAGCTGAGGACTTAGGAATAGCAAGAGAGATGGTACAGGAACTCGTTGTGGCTACAGAAAATATAGGTTTAAATTTAAACATCTCGAAAACAAAAATAATGACAAATTTGATACCCATCCAGAACATCAATATTGGTAAGCAAGAAGTAGGACTCGTAGATAAATATAAATACCTAGGACATAAAATTATAATTGGCAGGGATAATCAGACCCATGAACTGAAGAGAATAATCGGTCTTGGGTAGGCAGCATATAGAAAACTGGGAAAAACTTTTTAAAGTAAACTGCTCACATGCCTGAAGAGAAAAGTATTAGATCAATAGATCATATTAGATCAAATTTAACTTTTATAAAATAAAATCTTGTGTTCACGGGCTTTTGCTCTAATAAGACTGGTAAGAGCTACAGTGCGTAAAATTGTTTATAAAGTAGGAATCAAGGCTGAACAATCACAAGCATTTGAAATTTATGTCAGCCTGCGGAAGGGAGGTGCACTGGCTTACATCTTCCTTTTCAAATAGTCTTGGAAAAGGCGGTTAGAGACGCTAGAATAGACAACAAAGGAAATTGTTTTAACAAATTCTCAAAGTTATGGCCTATGCAGACGATCTAGACCTTATTGCTCGTTCTACAAAAACCCCACAAAAACTCAAGTCTGCTCTTTCTACCTAAAATCGAGAGAAGCAAAAAGAAAGCTAAAGATCAGATGGAACGGACACCAACTGGAACACGCGGAGCATCCAATATACCAATAAGTAAAGCTGGACAAAACAATTACATATACCGCACACTGCCAAAGGACCGCACTGAAGGTAACATCCCGTAACAACGTACTTCGCAAAGTCCGCTACTCTAAATGGAGAGCCCAGTCGAACGTCCTTCTAACCACAACCAAGGCTGTCAGCTTCTTCACAGGCGACTATGCATGCCTTGTCTATGGTAGATCGGCACAAGTTAAGAAAGTGGATGCGAAACGAAGCATGCTAAATAGCAACAGGGTACCCAAAAACACAACGCCACTAAAGAAAATATATCAGTGTGCGGAATGTTGTTGATGACTATGATGTTTGGTGCGGAAAAGCACTCACAGGACGACGACCTGCGGCTGAAATCCAAGAAAGTTTTTTTTCAGAGACATTGCCGTAGAACCTGTAGACTGGTATCTCCGATACCAAATATACCGTACAGAGGACATGGACAATCCTGAACCAAATGAGAATGGGGCGTGGTCACTGTGAAGGCCAACAGAGCAATATGGGACCAAATCAATAAAAATAATATCTTATCTGCGTGCGGTCAACGACTGTACATAGACCACTTGCTTCAGTGCAACCAATGCCCGTTTCCATGTACGATGGACGACCTGTGAAAGGCGAACTCCAAGGCAATAAATTGTGCCCTATTCTGGGCCGAACCCTTGAATGATCACGCTTGAACACAAAAAAGTAGTAAAATAAGTACAACAGGCAAGTTAGAAGGAATATTCACCACTTTCTTAAAATGGCTCAAACAATATGGGCCTACAACAAAATTATGAAAAAACCAAAATGATGCCATATATATATATATATATATATGCCATATATATATATATATATATATATATATATATATATATATATATATATATATATATATATATATATCCAACATCATAACGGCAACTCCACAAGAAAAGAAATCAAACGGAGAATAGTTCTGGCAAAAAAGTGCTATTTTGGGCTGCGTAAACACATGAAAAGTAGGAAGTTAAGCCAAGAACAAAAATATCAATATAAAAAACCCCTAATAATGCAAGTGCTTCAACTTCCATTTCCAAGACAGATGATATCTGATGGTAAAGACATGATATCTCTCATAAGAATAGGAAGACTAAAATGATTAGGATGTCTAAAACGGTCGCAGAATAATCCTCCTAGATGAATCCTCATGTTACAGACGGTACAGTGGGAAGTAGATGGTCAGGTAGGCCAAAACTTAAATGGAAAGATGGTGTAGATGAAGATGCTGGAAAAATAGATGCAGGAAACTGGCAATTGTTGACAATGGCTAGGATTGACTTACTTACTTACTTACTCCGTGGCGTTACAACCCTTCGTGGGTTTTAGCCGACTCGACAACATGCCTCCACTGTTTTCTGTCTTGAGCAACCTCCATCCAATTCTCCACGCCCATAGTGCTTAGGTCTCCTGCTATATTATCTCGCCACCGGAGACGAGGGCGTCCGCGTGGTCTCCTTCCAGTTGGGACTTCCTGCCACACCAGTCTTACTGTTCGTTCGTCAGAATGTCTTCTGAGGTGTCCTGCCCATTGGAGTCTTCTGGACTTTATTTCTTTTATGATGTTGGCGTCTGGGTAAAGTTCTTCAAGCTCTTTATTAGTTCTTATCCTATATTGTCCTGATGTTTCATCAAGCACCGGACCAAAGATCTTCCTTAGGATTTTTCTTTCCCAAACACGTAGTCTCTCTTCATTTGCCTTTGTCATCGTCCACGTTTCGCTTCCATACATCACAACGGGTCGTATGATTGTTTTATAGACCTGTATCTTCGTACGTCGTGTTAGTTGTTTTGATTTTATAAGGTTTTGGAGGGCAAAAATACATCTGTTGCCGGCCTGAATCCTGTTGTTTATTTCTTGTGATCCGTTATTGTCTTCAGTTATTGTTGTTCCAAGATACTTGAATTCCCTAACGCGCTCAAAGTTAAAGTCATCGATGGTAATGTTCTGACCGATTCTGTCCCTGCTTTGGTTATTGCGGCTCATATACATATATTTCGTCTTGTTTTCGTTGATTTGGAGTCCCATTGACTGGCGAAATATAATTAAAAGTGTGTGGCTCAACTATAGGGGTGCAGCAGCAATGGTGATAATTATGACGTTATGTTGTTACCATTTTTCCCTCTAGCCTATTTTTTAATTTATTATTCCCAACTCTATATTCTTTACAAATTATTTTTTTAGCATTTATAAAGTTTTTTTATGCATTCTTAAAGTGGCTTACTAACTTGTGAGTCCTTAACAGCTTGAAACAGTCCCTTAAGCGGATTTACCAAGGTGGATCTAACAAAGTAGCTTCGGTTGCCAGAGCTTAAAGAAATTGCTGATAATTAAGTTGCTGATAGTCTTAAAAAGAAGTTAGTACTTCTCGGTCTATCGATCCAAAACCATTTTGCAATATCCACAAGGAATCTACGTTCCTGTAGTTGGCTGTATACCATGTATTAAAAATTTAATTAAAAATCCTTTGTAATAGGTATATTTTAGGCCCAAACGGGCTAAGTTAAAAAGACAAAACGTTTTCGGAAACCATGTTCCATCATCAGTGTCTAGGAGTACATGAATGAAGCCACCAAGATTAAATATGTGGGTAAAAACCCGATTACATATGTTTAATTACATTTAGTTTTAAAATAATGTTGTAATGATATAGGATTACAGAGTTACCGATGGATTTGGTAACATGGCGACATATGCATATGGCATATGGCGACATATAGTTGCACTCATACAGTCCTCGAAGACATACCGTCTCAGGACTAGCAACTTCAACGTGGAGTCATATGTCGCCATGTTACCAAATCCATCGGTAACTCTGTAATCCTATATCATTACAACATTATTTTAAAACTAAATGTAATTAAACATATGTAATCGGGTTTTTACCCACATATTTAATCTTGGTGGCTTCATTCATGTACTCCTAGACACTGATGATGGAACATGGTTTCCGAAAACGTTTTGTCTTTTTAACTTAGCCCGTTTGGGCCTAAAATATACCTATTACAAAGGATTTTTAATTACATTTTGCAATACACAAAAAATAGGCAATTTAAATCAAAGGCAAGCAAAAAGATTATGTAAATTTGTGCTGCGCACAAATACTCTACAATCTATAAATAAGATTAGATATGATGTATTATCTCATATGTATATGATAAATAAAGGATAAAATAAAAGTTATTATGTATCTATAAATATTATTTAAGCAGGTACAACTGCTTACCTTGGAGTATATCTTGTATAATCTCTAACATATCCTAATTGATAGTTACTATGAATGGTTGCTTTAGAATCATCTTGACAATTATCAGTCTCTTTCGTTGGTTGTTCGCTACAAGTTGAAGGATGCAATGTAGAACATCTCGTGCCTAACATTATTTTGGCATTGGTCATAAGCTTCTGTATAAAAGAACTGTACTTTTGAGTATCTTCATTCGGTGGAAGGCCTTCAAACGAATTGTTTTCGATAATTATTTTAGGAGAATTATCAGAACCAGTCTGTTCACTATTAGACACAGTAGAAAATATATCTTGAGATGTAAATTTGGCAGTATTCGTATGACTGAAGTTATTGGATGGTGAACTGATTCGGGCATCCATGTCTGACACCTCCTGGCATAATTTAAAGCCTCTTGCTTTTAACTGATTTACACAAGAGTGGCTGTTGCTAAAAGTTGAAGACCTTTGGTGATTGTTATTGATAATTGAACAGCCACAGTTTAAATGCCTCATTGCATTGTAACTTTTGAGTGTACATTGAATTTTGTTTGGAAAGAAAAACTCTTTTAAAAAAGACTTTTACAAACAAATAATTGTCATACTAACAGCTAATCACTTGATACTCAAAAGGTGCTACAAACATGATAGAATATATCTTGACAACGATATCTGTCAATAAATCATATTTATATATCATATTAAATATTTAAATATACGTGCGTCGCATTGAATGTTGGTTGTGACGTTGTACCCATATATTTTGTTCTAATGGTATATATTAGGTGAGAGGCTAATTAAAAACATCTAAGTATATTATAAAAATTTTATATTCCAAATAAATATATTCAAAAATTTTAAAATAAATTTCTATTAAAGTTGTAAGGAAAGGTAATTTAAGATAGTTATTTGCAAAACTCATATGCTATTTGATATACTTCTCAGACACAGTAAAAATATGTCAGCTTTTATACAACTAATATAATATATGTATATATTATAAGGTCGGTCAGATAGCTCAGCGGGCTGTGCGGCTGCCTCTCATTCGCTTCACTGTCGAATGGCTCAGTGGATGTGGGATCGAGTCCCAGCTCGGTGAACAGAAAACAACAAGTCTAACGCAGCAGTTTAAAATTCTAGATGAATCTGCGGATTAGACTAGAATATGCTGGGATCTGATCAGCCTATGGTGGAGCAGTACGGCAAGAGATAACGGCTTGCGGCTTGGTGATACTCCGGGCGTAACGCCTAAATAACCGGATATATATATATATATATATATATATATATATATATATATATATATATATATATATATATATATTTATAATTTAAATACAAGTAATAAGGCGGTTTTAGGTATAGTTTATAGCAGAAGTTAAGTATTTTTAAAAACCGTACTAGTATAATTGGAACGTTCGCACACTTAACGAACCTGGAAACATCCGCAAACTGTGTGACATATTAGCACAAATAATGCAGATTTTACTTCAATAAAAGAAGTACGATGGACAGGTGATGGCATAATCCAAAAAGCAAACTACAATATACTACGGGACAGCCTGTATAGTCAATATGAAAGTCAAGCACTTGGTTATAGATTTTAAGCCGATAAATCAGCGAATGAGCTGCTTAAGGATCAGACGCAAGTTTTTTAATATTAGCCTTATTAATGTACATGCCCCAACAGAGGACAAGGAAGACGAAGAAAAAGACTATTTCTATGATGAATTAGAAAGAACATAAATATGACAATTGTCCCAGAAATGACATTAAAATAGTAATCGGTGATCTGAACGCAAAAATCGGAAGGAAAGAAATATATCTACCGCACATTGGTAAATATAGTCTTCATAATAATACTAATTCGAATGGACACCGAGCAGTCACCTTCGCAGCCTCAAAGAACATGATCGTAGGAAGCATATGTTTTCTACACAAAAAATACATATAGGGACTTGGAATGCGCCTGATGGATTTACGAAGAACCAAATTGATCATGTAATCATAGATGCTAGACACTTCTCCAACTTTTGAATGTCCGCCAAGGACAATCGAGGCGCCAATATTGATTCAGATCATTTTCTAGTTGGCACAAGAATTCGGACTAGAATTTCAAATGCGAAGAAGGAGAGAAGTACCAAAATAAGGCGCCTTAATATTGAACTTCTCAAAAATTCGCAAAAGGTAGAAAGGTTTCAAAACTATATCGAAACTAAATACAGAACTAAAGAGAATCTAATAATTAGTGAACAATGGGAAATGTGTAAAAATTATATTAAAGACGCGGCAAATAACATTCTAGGACCGCAAAGAGCACCACCACACAATGAGTGGTTCGATGCTGAGTGCAAGGACATTACAAGAAGAAAGAACAATCCATATAAACTGATGCAGCAAAGAAGGACCCGAGAAAAAGAATAAAAATATAAAGATCTCAGAAGAAAAGAGAAGTACATCCATCGGAGAAAAACGCGACTTATAAAAATAGAATATTGAAGACATTAAAAAAGGAAAATCAAACCAGAAAATTCTATAAAAATCTGAATAATGCAAGAAAAGAGTTTAAACCAAGGATCGGACTATGTAAGGATAAGGAGGGGCACATACTTAATACAAAGGAAGAAGTATTGAAAAGGTGGGTGTAACACTATAAAGAACTACTTACAATCGAAGTAGAAGATCCAAATCAACCACCCTCAGGAGCAAGCAACGATAAACCATTGGAGCCTTCATCAATTCAAAAGTGCGGGATACAATAAAACACCTAAAAAATAATAAATCTCCAGGAAGTGATGGTATACCCGCGAAACTCATTAAATGTGGAAGTGCTATTCTGACTAACGATATATATATATATATATATATATATATATATATATATATATATATATATATATATATATATATCATACTGATAGCCTGGAATGAGGAACAAATCCCGGAAGAGTGGTGTATCGGGATCGTTTGCCCGCTACACAAAAGGGTGATCAATTAAAATGTAGAGACTATAGGGGAATAACCCTCCTTAATATAGGATACAAAATATTTTCCAGTATTTTAAAGTGGTTTTAGGCCTGGTCGATTAACAACAGACCAGATCTTTGTGATAAGGCAAATACTGGAAAAAACCAATGAATTCGATATCGACACATACCATCTTTTCGTAGATTTCGACACATACCATCCCCCGATAAACTGATAAAATTGGTTAAGGCTACAATGCATAAAATTGTTTGCAAAGTCTAAATACAGGGCGAACAATCAGAGGCATTTGAAACGCATGGTGGGCTGCGACAGGGAGATGCGCTGGCGTGTCTCCTTTTCAACATAGCTCTGAAAAAGCGGTCAGGGATGCCCAAATAAACAACAGAGGAAACATTTTTAATAAATCATCCCAAATTTTGGCATATGCAGATGATATAGACCTAGTTGCCCGCACATCACGCAAACTAGAAGAAATGTATACCACCTTGACAAGTGCCTCAAAAAATCCCTCCCTGATCACCAAGGAGAACGTCATGACGGAAGAAATCAAGCCAAGAATTCCAGCAAACAAATGCTATTTTGGATTGAGTAGACATATAAAAAGCAGAAACTTAAGCCAAAAAACAAAAATAACCATATACAAAACCCTTATACAACCAGTGTTAACATATGGATCGGAGACATGGACCATTTCCAAGGTAGATGAAAACCTCCTGCTTATATTTGAACGAAGGATCCTGAGAAGAATATTCGGTGGCATTTGTGAAAATGAGGTTTGGAAAAGAAGGTACAACAATAAGATATATCACAGATATAAATGGTGGTAAAGACGTAGTATCTCTTATAAAATTAGGAAGACTAAGATGGACAGGACATCTGGCAAGATTACAGCAGAACAACCCTCCTAGAAGAATCCTTATATCACAACGTATGGGAAGTAGAAGTAGGGTAGAGGAAGGCCAAAACTCAGATGGAGGGGTGGTGTAGATGAGGATGGTAGAAAAATGGATGCAGCAAACTCGCAACAGTTGGCAATAGATAGAACTGATTGGCGTAATAGACTTGGGAAGGTCGAGGCTTTTTTATAGAGCTGTAGCACCAGTGATAATGATGATGACTAGTATAATTAAAAAAAAAGCAGTTTTAAATGTTCAAAATCGTTTTTAATGTGAAAATTCAGCGTTTTTTAGGCTTATTTTAAATGCCTCATATTTGTTGCCAAAGCTTAAAACAAAATTTTTATGTCATGGCTTTGGAAGATTAGATTCCAATTATGAAAACTCCATAGTTACCGGTTACTGAAAGGTATACATTTAATTGATTTCATGAGAATCGCAAAAAATGGCAAAACTGGATCACGTTTATTTATTTTACACCTTTATAAAAACTGAGTTTATTTGCGGCAAAATACAAAAATTGCATGCAAAAGCTGCACTCTTTACCTTTCAAATGCATCTCGATTTTTGTCGATAGGACACTCGGATCAAAAGATGTTGAATTTTTAACCGTCGAGCTGATACAAACTTTATTAAACATTGACTTTACGAGCGTAGCTGACATTTAAAATCGCCGATCTCTTCAATCGTTGTTTCTGGGAAACGGTTTATTTTACACAAAAAATGCCAATCGACGTTTTTGTTCAAAATTATTTTAGCTACATTTTTTATTTAAAACATTTTTTTCTATGGCGTACAGATTCTTGGTAAATCGAGTTTTCCGTTTTAGGAGAGCCCGGGATAAAAGTGGTAAACTTTTTTGCATCTTTTTAGACTCCAAAAATTGACATTTTAGGCAAAATTCAGCTTGTTCGTATAATTTTTAGAAGTTCGGTGGCATTTTCGTCTCTTACGACTGGAGTATAAATGTATATAAATCCAACAGAAATTATATTAAATTCCAAATCAGAACTAAAGATACAAATCAATAAACTTGAATCAAAAAGGGAAAGTATTTTTAGCAAGGTTCTGAAAATACTTTAATGTGGCAAGTCTAATTTAACTATTATGTTTGTATGGGCTTAAGTTAGAATTATTTGTTGTAATGAAAATCACACTTTTCAACTTACCAATGTTAGTTGGTCTGGGAAAATATATGTCATACATTTTTCCAGAATTTTTATAATTATCCATTTTGAAGACACTTTTCGAATTAGAAATCAAAGTCAAATATTATTTAAAAAGCGATTTTCATTACAATCAATAATTGTACCGACGACACAGCGATAGCGGCCAAACACAGAAATGTAGACATAGCAATCACCAACCTACAGACAGCATTAGACGACATAGAAGAATGGAGTCTAAAGTGGAAAATTGCAATAAACTAAGACAAGACGCAAACCGTACTCTTTAAAAAGAGGCGAGAACAACCGGAAGAACAGGTAACAGTGCAAGACAATCCCATCGAGTGAAAAAGTGAAGCAAAATACCTCGGTGTAATAATGGACAAAGGATTGTCCATTACAGGCATTTGAAATACAATATGTTGTAAAATACAGGCACAACACAACAAAAGCCTAAGAGAAGCGGTAAACGTACCAAGATACGTAGCTGAAAGATTCCTTTTCAGAGAATTACAGCAAATCAGAGTGACTGACACAATGAAAGAAAAGGCCAGGATAAAGTTCGCAGAATTAGAGAACCACCCCAGTCACATACTACGAGAGACAATGAGGTATGACGCTTTCCACAGATGGAAGCACAAAAGACCTAAACAACAGATAATCGACTAAAAGAAAACCAGAGAGAGAAATAAAGACCCCCCCAGAGTGAAAAGAAACTCCAAAATCATAACACTCACACCAGGAAGATAGTTCGTAGCTCAAATCACCCAGAATATCGCACATCGCCTCGTACACAGTGGGCGTAGCTGCTCAACAAGGATACAATCTATATTGTGGTATCGTATAATATTTATATATTTTCTTTATTAAAATATAGATTATATACTAATTATGATTTTTTGTCCACAGGTCACCTACAAAAAAAACACAAAAAACACAAAAAACCGACCTCGGCCACCAAAAAAATCAAAAAACACTAACAAAAACCGGCTTCGGCCACCAAAAAAACTAACAAAAACCCCAAAACCCGGGCACATAGGGCTCAACCCCTTGAGCACCAAGTCGCCGAACTGAGCCGGGACTCAGAGCGGAGACTTGAGGCCCAAGTAAGCAATTTTAGTTCGCGGATAAGAAACATTAAGATAACGGGAATATAGCGGAGATGCGCTGTCCTGAGTTTCTGCCTTCGGTTAGGAAACCATGTTGGAGTTCTATTACCCAGGACCTCCACATGAAGAGCATTTGGCTGATTGTTGTGCCTCTATACCGCATCAGAGTGCTATAGGGGGAAAGGGATGGTCTAGAGCATTGGAGCACGGTGGGGTGACTCCTGTTTTTACTCGAGTTAACACACCTTGCTCCAATGAATTGTTACACCCGATCGTACTACCTGGGTGAACATTTCTCATAGGCTGGGTTCAATTAAATTGCTTGCTTGATCAATAATTGTATTTGTAAAATTGTAATTGTAATAATACCTCAAACAAAACAAATAATGAAGAAGTCCTAAAATAGTATTAACATATTAACCCTGTATGCGGTATTAAAGCATAGTGCTTTACATACACTATCTAAAAGGTTACTTATAAAAGGTTGCCTTTAAACTACGTCTTTTATTAGTGTTAAGACTGGTAGGTAGCACCATCTATTACTAGGTTTGAGAAATTCAATATGAATTCAATTGAAAGTGAATAAATATTGTATGATAAAAGTAAGTAAAAACCTTTTTGTACAATATTTTGGCTTTACATTGAATACAAAGGTTCATTACTTTATTTTTTTTTATTATTTACAGTGATAAAAGACCTATATAACGATAAAATCTTCATTTAAAAAACTATGTAGGTAAAAAGCAACATTACCAGTTTATAGCAAGTTTTTTTTTGTTGCAGATTTTACAAATAAAACTATTTGTTATTATGGATTTTATGCCAATTAGGTCTGCATGTTTTTATGGGACGAAAAAAAAGGTTGCAATAACTCCGGCAGATCCAAATATTTCAGAATTTTCCGATTTATCTGATTCGGAAGAAAATTCTGATGATGAAACAGGTCCAAACAATATGGTGATACATACAAAAATTAGATGAAGATAGAGAAGCTAATGAGGAAGTAGAAAATGAAGAAGACGAAGTTGTACGAAGAAAAAAAAACACAAAGAGATCCTACCTATTTCAATTGGACAGAAGATGATATTATAACTACTTCCATTTCTGATCCAGATCAATTTTTCAGTGGAGAGGTAGTCCCAACTTTCAAGTTGTTTTGACTTGACGTTATTGAAAATATCGTATACCAGTCTAATTTGTACAGTACTTACACAGGTAAGAAAAAGTACATTAACACTTCGCTACGTGAAATAACAGATCCCTCCTCAATAATTTGTTATTGATAAAATAACTTTTTTTTTTTTTTCCTAAGTTAATGGCACTGGCAAAGCCAAAAGGCCAGTCATGTATTGATAAAATAACTGAATTTACCAGCAGTAGAAGACTATTGGGCGACTTTCTCCATAATATCTCAAATTGCGGATATTATGCCACGAAAACAATTTCAACTTCTCAGAAGATTCATACATTGCAATGACAACATCCAAGTTACAGACAAAACTAAAGATCGGAATTTCAACATGCCAAAAATATTAATTTGAAATAAGCAAACAAATAATTTAATTTAAAAATAATATTTGAAATATTCAAAATAAGCCTCATAAATGGGAATAGAAAATATTTGTTCGAGCTGGCGTGTCTGTCTACATTGTTGATGTTTATTTGTTAATTTTGTTTTGTGTTTTGTTGATTGTAAATTTTTTATTCTAAATATTTAATAACCTATTTCTACCTTACCCCACACATTAGATATAAAAGACTGTACCTCACACTGGCAATGTAACTTTTTAGCTACAAAATCAAAAGTGACTTTCATTTAGTTTTATGAGTTTTATTTTTATTGCTTATCTTTTGCGGTGCCAAACTGATGCCATAAATTAAATTTAATATTTTTTATATATTTTAAAACACTTTGCTAGATACGGGGTTAAGGACCTTTTGTAAAAATATTTTTTCTGTTTACAGAATCTTGTTAATATAGTCTTGTTATAGTCATAACTGACTAAATTACAATTTTAATCTACAAATCTTCGTTACAAAAGCTACTATTTATCTAAAAATTTCCTATTAGTCCTATTAAGTTTATCTTTAAAATAGCCTCATAAAATAACATGTGGTCTTTTTTTACTTTCATTGACTTAAAGCTCCAATCCAAATAGTTTTTTCCTCTTAAGCCCTCTCCTAAGTCTTTTATTATCAAGAAGATACAGTGCCTCTTAGTTGTGGTCAAAGTGGAGTTACTACTCAAGCTTTATTGTGTAGCTGCCGATCTCTTCTTTGACTGTTGGTACCTTCAGTTCTCTAGTTACTATTTAAATGGGAATGAGCCACAATTAAAGATAAAAATACGTTTATTGACGTTTCAATTTCCACTTCGGAAATCGTTCTCAAAATACAAACAGTAAATTAAACAAATTTTGTTTTTTTGTTACTTAGTGAAAAATTCTTTTAACAATTTAATTTTATCTGACACATTTATATTGACAATTCAGACATACATTATACATTGTAAAGTAGACGACTTTAAAATGATATTGCCAATATTGTTGAGTTGCGCTCCTGGGACAACTTTACTAAGATAGTTCATTCGATTACATGAAATCAACTTTACCTTGAGAATATCCGTCAGAAATAATCAGACATGTAATTTGTCGTTAAAAAGACAAACACATGCCATGATGATAGTAAAATTCTCCTGTTAGTGATTCCATAGTAAATTATGATGGAAAAACCAGGAAAAAAACCTCATAATACTATCCCGACATGGTAAGTATTTGGTCGTGCATTTAGTTGACCTTCAATAAACACCAAATTCTGATTTTATATGTTTGATATTTTAAAAACATAAATTGTGTATCCTCCATATGTTACTGACTTACTAATACTGGTATTTTCTTTTTAATAACTTCCTCTTTCAAAATGGGTAACCAGATCCTACTACATTCTGCCCAGCAATTTGCGACACAATTGGTCTCATTTAGCATAATTAGAGCCGCTTCTTTGATTTTTCTCTTTTTACCATCCGTTTCTTTTAGTACTATATTTGAATTATTTCATTGAACCCTATGTTCATTATCCCATGCGTGTTTATATATTTGAGATCATACATACATTCAATGTTATATATTTTCAATATTATTATATGGCGCTGAGACTTGGACATAAAACATAAACACTTGAACATAAAAAAATTAAATTTAAAAAGAATAGAGGCTTTTGAACTCTGGTTATACCACAGAATATTAAAAACGCTATGGACTGATAGAACTACAAATAAAGAAATATTGGTGAGGGTTAAAGAAACTGCACTAATCACCTCCATACAAACAAGAAAAATCAAATACCTAGGCTACGTAATGATGAGACCATAATATGAAATTATGAAACTTATAATACAGGGAAAGATTCAAGGAAGATGATCTGTTGGCTGAAAGCAAAATTCTTGTTTGAATAATATACGTGATTGGTATCAATGTAGAACGACTGATTCGTTTAGAACAGCAAGATTAAAAATAAAAGCTGCCATTAAGGCTACATCTTCTGTAGGGAGACTAAACTCTAAGAAGAAGTACTACTGCATAGAGTAGAAGAGTGGACTCTAAGTGAGGCCATGCTTAAAGGCTTAGAAGTATTTGAGATATGGATACACGGAGAACTACTAAAGATAAGCTGGGTCGACTGAGTCATAAATGGGAAAGTTTTTAGAAGGCTCTGAACTCAACAACTTCTCTGGCCAGTATAAGAAAACGACGCAAGCTGAAATGCTTCAGTCACATTATGAGACATCCTGAGACATCGTATGGAAAAGATACAAGGGCCGCAAAGAAGTAGAACATCGTGGCTTAAAAACTTGAATGTACAGAAAATCGACTACATCACTACCTAGGGCTGCTGTTAATACAGCAATGGTAGCGAATATGGTACACCACAAGAAAAAGAATTAAGACATGGTGGTAATAGTATGTGAATGACCGCAGCATTCTTAGTAGTGGATGACAAACAAACTATTGGTTTGCATATCAACTGTGAAACCAAAAATGTTCTGCAAGTAACCTATAGGTTTGTACTAACTTTTATTTGAGAACGTTGCATTTTTGAAAGGTTTTATTACAAGCAATAGTCAAGTTGTTTTTTAAAATCCTGTTCCACTTCACAAAAAAGTAAATTTTAATTATTTTGTTGCTTAAAAATGTTTACCGATTGGTGACTTATCTGGTCAACTGGTTTGTTTCTAATACATACTACAAATCATGGTGATGTGACGTCACTACTAATGTGGTGTAGATTGCTTAATATATTATAGACTATTATGAGATAAATAGCAAGCTAAGATTACCCTGTCATAATAAATGTCATTCTTTCATTTCGTTAAACATGTACTTACAAAATTTTAGTGATCTTTAATTTCTTCCGCAAATACCTTTTTTGTATAAATTTCAGTAAACTTATCAAGCCGAATGTAACATTACCAGCCAAACTGACTTCATTTAATTTAAAGTAAGTTGCTTGTTTTTCGTAATATCCTGAATTTGATTTTTATTTTTACATTGTTTTTATACAGCTTAGAGAGTATTTGCTAATAGCACTACTGTGATCGCCTTTATTTAACTTTGTTTCTATATTAGCTCTTAATAATACATAGCCTGGGTTGGAAACCTTTGTTATTTTAAAAATATTTTTAATTTGAATCCAATACGATTCCTTCCGTCTGTACACAAATAAATATTCCTACTGGCATCTGTAAAATGTATAAAATTAATATATTATACTAATATGCAGATTGTAAAAACCCGCTGAGGAAATGGCCGGTTATATTTCTCGCAACTGTAAGGCAATCGTTTGGCAATGTTATAAATATTTATAACAGGTCTTTTATAACCTAAGCAGGAAAATAATGTCTATTCTAAACTGATAATAGTCTTGTTGAGTGGCCTAAATCTGCTACTCCAGTTACTTAATAGACACAGTATGGTCCAAAAAAGATGTTTGTATCCTATCATACACAGCCATATATTTTGCTGATACCTTCATGAATTTGTTGAATTTGAATGCAAAGAATTGATAATACGTTAGCAAACCTCTTGTGTTGTTAACCACTTGCTTTTTCTGTTCTTAAATGTGAATCTCATTTCTATACTGTTTTTGTCATACATTTTAACAGTTCTTGCGTCTTCCTGTATATTCGTTAGATGCAGGGCATGATCTGCGTGTCTAGCATGATCTTTAAAGGCCCGTTTTCACGCTACGTCTTATTGTACGTTTTGTGGGTCATATAAAACGTACGACAAAATGTACGTTTTGTCCAGTGTATACACACTGCGTTTTTCCTTCCGTTTTCTACCTCATTTCTAATTCAGAGTCTTGAGTTGTGTGAAGTTTGTTTAGTGTTTTTTTTATTATTATGGAGGAAACACGGCTGCTTTATTTTATTTTTTCAACTATAACGATACTACGACTGAGGAAAAAGGGGATGAAGAGGGAAAAGACAAGATGGTCAAGAGAATGGCTTCTGAAAAGACGCCAGTATTCCCACGTCCCGTTACTAAAAGAACTGAGAGGCGAACCAGTTGACTGGCGCAATTATTTGCGAATGGACACCTCAGGATTCATTTATTATTGTATTATTAGATTTTATGATATCATGTACTCTCTAAAGTACCGCTTAGGTATCATTTAAGAATAAATTTTTGAATGTTTTCACATGTTTTCATAAATACACAATGCTCAATGCAAATTACAGGTATCGCAAGAAAAATTGTTTTGTCTCTTACATATTTCTTCTCAAATTTAAGAATAAGTAAAAATTTCTATCTGAATATAAAATTCGGTGGAATTTAAGTAAGTCAAGATCGGATGACTTGTCTGAACAAGTATTTACACGTAACGTCTTATCCTATCAGTTCTCGCAATACTATGCTTTTCCCATCATTTCTACGATCTGACCTTGGATTTCATTTCGATTGGACAAGACGTACGTTTTGCTGTTTACATGCCACGTTTTATTGTATAGAATATGTCCTATCCAACAAAACTACAAGACGTAGCGTGAAAACGGGCCTTAACACTCTTTTAGTCGCGCGGTTTTTCTGATGAGCTTAGTCTCGCGTTCTACGATCGAAGACCAATAGTTTTTTGTTGTATAATGCCTAATTTTACCAAATTTTACAAATAATAGTTAAAAACACGTGTATTTATGTCTGTACTTTTATATTAAATATATGTTTTGTTCCTTAGCTTTGGTAGTTTTGACAGTGGTAAAATTAAAAACGGAGTCGAGCTTTTTTATTCGCAAGGTAATGAAAATGGTCACAAAAATAAACTCAATTTAGTAACAAACACAAATTTTTTATAGTTTTGAACTTATAAAATGTCCAATAGTGATGAATAATAAAGACTAGAACAGAAAAGTAAACAAAGAACAAAACTATTAAATGGTAAAAGTGGCCCAATTTAAGTCCGCCAAATATTCAGTGCAAACATTCCTGAGATGATCCTTGTATGCAAATTTTACATATCTTTGCCATGGTTTTCTCGTTGACTTTTTGCGAACTCGTGGACAAATACATCATCCCACGTAATTTGTTGGAATATTAGGGGGAGAGGATACGACTTCTTGAACTCCGAGCAGTACGCGAGCTTGTCGTCTAAATTTACTTGGCAGGGAAGGTGTAGTTGATCTATATTCAATTTATGCTTTGATTAGTTCCCATGCTAAGTTTTCGATGAAGTTGCTTATTGAAACTTTTTTATTTATGTTATTAGTTTTAAATACACAGCAGGCATTTATCGCAGATATATTGATTCAATCATAAAATATGGTCACGTATTTTTCACATATTTAGTCAACTGTATCTACACATATTTTAGTATAGTTGTAAAAGGTGACGATTTCGCGTTCCTCTTAATCACCAATTTCCGTGTCAATCGCATTATCATTGTACGTAGAAGAAATTAAAAGAATGGCCTTATTTTTTTAGGACAATAGGAAACCATGGTAAAATTTTTCTGAGAACCGAAGAGTAAAAATCGTTCTTCTCTATTTTTTTTTTAGGTAAGAACTCTGGTAATATCTCACGTTTATTCTTTTTCATGGTACTAACGTAAATTATTTTTTTTTCCAATGTTTTTTGTTAGTGGCACACTAGTATACCAATTGTGCCCAGTTATGTTGCGTTTTGTTCCTTCTACAGGGTGTCCTAACCTCAGAACTATATCTTCAGAAAAATTACTCAGCTTGTATGGTCCTTCTGGTTATGTTCCAACGTAGGTTTCGAGATTAAATGTGTACCGTTCCCGTCATAAAAAACTGGTACAACTCTTATAACCGAAAATCGTGTTTTTCAAGTTGTGTAAGTTGAGCTTGTGACATGTGTCAAACATGGTTATATCAAACCAGCTAAAAGCAGAGCTGTGCGACGGGTCGCAAGTTTTTAGTATACTAAAAACCAAAATAATATCGAGCATTCTCGATGAGTCAGTCACATTTATATTCATACATTTATTTAAACATACATCTTAAAACATTCTATTAATTTTGAAATTTTCCATTCTCTCAGTACCCATACATTGATTCGTGTTTTATTATAATTTATAAAAATATTTCAATTCAAAAATAATGATAGATAATAAATCTAGACACGACTTTAAATTTATGTTTAAATTCAAATCGAGAGGTGTGATTGGTTTCTCGTAAAGTGTAGCACAAAACTGTATTGAGTTTGGAATACTACAGTAAATAAAACCCACTAGAAAAAATTAAAATTTAATTTGAAATTAATAAAAAATTAATAATTTTTACAGTTAACAACTATAGGATTTAAATATATGTATTACAATTCCAAAAGTTAATATTTTGTCATAGCTCCATTATTATTAATCACTTCTTGTAATCTTCTGGGAACTAGTGACAAATTTTCATCTTCGACCAAGCTTTCCCAGGTTTCTTCAATGATGGTCCATAAATGATCTCTGTTTTGGGGAACTACATTTAATTTTTGTATTTTGTTGATCATAAGTCCCCAAACATTCTCTATTGGATTAATATCTGGACTTTTAGAGGGCCATGGAAGAGCTTCAATGCTATTTTCTATAAGGTAATCCCGTACACGGTGGGCTGTGTGGATTGAATAGTTATCATGGTGGAAAATAAAATTTTTGTTGGGAAAAATTTCCATAACCGATGTCAACATCACATTATCTAATATATGTAAATAGGTTTCAGTATTAAATCTTATTAATAATTAATTATTAAATCCTTCAATTCTCCAACACATTCCTAAACCTCCTCTATACATCCAAGCCCAAACATTTATAGAGAACCGTCCGGACTTACACTTGATGAAATATAGTTTTCGTTAAACCTATTTCGAGGCGATCTATAAACCCTAATATGGCCATCATAATGAGACTCGAATACTTTTTCATCAGTAAAAATTACACGGTCCCAAAAATTGACTGGATCATTTAAAGCGTAATTTAAAGCAAATAGGAGTCTACTTTGTTTATATTCCTCGCTAAATTTGTATTTTCGGGCAGCTGCACAATTTTTTAAATGTGTTCTTCTAATTCTCCTTAATGCTGTTATTATAGAAGCGTTAAAGTTTGTATTAACTTGTGGGGCTGTAGTAATAACTGGTCTCCCACTCCCTCTCCTTCTATCCAAAGACTGCTCATTTTCCCATATTTTTTTTAAAATTGTGGATTGTGGTTTTGCTTCTATTTAACTCTTGAGCCAGTTGTCGAATAGACCAACCATCTTCTATTTTTGAAATTATTCTCGTTTAATCAAACTGACTTAACTGACGTGGCATCTTTAAAAATTCACTTTGACAAACTTGTCAAATCTGACTGATGGCAAGCAATATTTTTTATGTATAATTTTTATGTTTAATTGTTCGGATATGTTTGGGACGTTTTCACGCACTGATAACCCCCTCTGTGGCTCAGTGGTAAGAGCGCCTGCCTTTAAATCTAAAGGTCGTGAGTTCGAATCCCACCTGGGTGGAAATTTTCGTTTATTAAAAAAAAATTAATAAATGAAAATAATTTCTATCCTTGTGTGATCGGTACACACCGGAGGGACCGCAGACGTTCGGATACAATTAGCGTCTCTTAGCAAAGACAATGACGTCGACTTTGCTAAGTATCAAGACAATTACTCTACACACACACACACACACACACACACACTACACCTCAAATTGTAAGATTGGCGAATGGATTTAGTGTCCGCAGTCATTTAAACACAAACAAACAACAACAACGCACTGATAACATCTGAAGATACTAAACCAGCATCTTTCAGTCATAAGAGGATTTTTTACAGTTATAAGAGGATAATAATTTTTTACAGTTATAATCTACGTAGGATAAAGTATAATGTTAGTTTTTCACATTTTTTATCGTTCATGTAATAAATAATAAATAAATTCAGGTATTTTACCTGTTACTAAACTGATTGACATAAAATACAGTTAACAGTTTGTGTTCTATAAGTAATTGAAGTATAAAATTACAGTAGATGCATTCCAATGTTCCCTGCGCCAATATCCAAAGTTTAAATATCGTTCAATATTTTGGACATTTCCTCAATCCTCTTTCTGGTTACTAGATACGGTTTTTTGTTGTTAATAATAAAATAATACCTATCTAAAAACTATATATTTTTGAACGTCATTTTTTACGTTTTACGTTTTATTTAAATTTACTGAAATTCCGTTATCTATAATGGCAACAACGAATTGATTCACGAACCATTGTGTCCAGTCTGAACACAGGTTTACATTGGGAAAAAAAAGTGTACCAGTTTTATATGACGGGAAGTGTACAAGGTCTTTGCATCTACTAATGTAAATATCTTGATTCCATATCTGGAAGGGTTACTAGGTATATATTGTTTAAAACTGTAGCGACCCCTAAAAGTCAATAGTTGTTCGTCTATAGTCAGGAATTCAGCACATTTCAATGCCACTTAAATTGTTCCAGATTTTTTTAACATTTTTTTTGAACTTCTAAATGTCCCAATCCAGAACAAAATTCCAAAAGATGCACGAGTTGCTCTATCATTTGTTAATCTTGCATGTCTATCCCGTTGGAACATACGTTTAACTTTTCAATGTATGTATTTCCATTCAACCATTCAAAACGTGTTTTTGGAAAACGTGTCTTTTGGAAATGTGTTTCATAAAATCTAGCACATCTTGCATCAATAAAAAGTCCGACATAGATAAACTAAGCAACATTTATTGTTATTTGCTAGAATAACACCAAAAATAAAATAAATATTTACCTGTACATAAATTACACCTGTATGTATAATATGTTGCATATCATTAAGACAGGTTTAAAAAGTAGTCACCTAAGATGGGCCTCTAATATTTCTTGAAAAGAAAGATAACATCAATTACACCTAATTACATGTTAATTACAGTGTTTTACTTTCCATTCTCTATACATATGAGTTTAAACACACCAGTAAAACATGCCACAAACTAAGTTTTACTATCTTTACCATACATTTTAAAATTTTAGAATGTATTTTGTCCATAATTTTATATTTTAAAGTGTGTTATAAATGTTGAGTGTCAATGCTTTTATAAATAATCTCAACGACTAGTAAGTTACACTGAAGAATTGTGATATTTTTTAAATATTTACATATTTGTCTTATTACAGTGTCTTGAAAAAGGAATAAAACCATTCCGAAAGCTAGACAAAAAGTCAAAAGAGTGTTTATTTTAACATTCCGGCCAATATTCTGACTGCAACCCTAATAAACTGTGTTGTTTGTTTATATCGACAGTCACTAATATCCAGTATTTCTTATATATATATATATATATATATATATATATATATATATTATATATATATAAATATATATATATATATATATATATTATATATATATATATATATATATATATATATGTGTGTGTATTTTATATTTTTTATTTTTAAATATTTAAATTTGTAACTACTCTTTTAGTGCATAATTGTTTATGTCCATCTACACCGACTGCTGAAAGAAGAAACCCAATAGATACAAGTTCAAAAAACACAAGTTCTTTTCCAAACGTGAGTAGTATCTGTTATAGCTAGAATACAATATATTTATATACAATAAAGTATGCAAATGTAGAAATACACAAAATCAGGATAATTGAAAGTTCTCGCCACTGCTATTAATTTTTCAAGGAAAAGTAGAACGAAAACAAGCACCAGGAAGATAAACTTTTGGGTTAGGATACATATGTTTTAATTAATTTTAATACAGTTTGTCTCTCTTTTAATGATCAACTGTCTTTTTATTATCAAAATAATCAGTAACAATTCTAAACCATTTTTTAAAGCAGGTACACAATATAATGTCAAGGCAATTATTTATACGATTTTTACTGTTGCTCCCAATTACAACTCATTGAAAATATTTAAAACTTTTTTACAATGATTTTTTTCATTAATATATTGTACTATTTCACTAGAAAACGACATTCTTGACAAAAAATCCGAATTTCGCTATATCATACAGTGTTAACGACAGGATAGTAGGACACTAGCGTCTAGCCGTTGGCAGGTCAGGATAATCCTGACCAATCCAATCGCACTTGAGTTTGAGTATGTGTGTGGCGCGTCATTTAAATTATGTACATATTTGAATGTAACAGAACAGTTCTCATTTCTCATATCACGAAACGTTCTCGGATTCTTCACTCAAACAAGAAGTAGTGTTTAGTTGTTTTAAATACAGTTTTATTATTTTACATATTATAAATACTTATCTTATTATAAATCTTATTGTGAGTTGGCAACAAGTGAGGGAGGGCTTCTCTGCTTGTCACTTATTAAGATTAAAAATTATAGATCATAGTTGTTGTTATTTGTTATGTTGTTGTATAATAAAAATAATTACCACAATCAAATATCAGCAATAAACTGACGTTCATATAGACTTGGAAATAACTGTCCAATATCAGTTTGATGTCCAATGTGTGTTTTTATAAAATTGACTTCAACTTTTTCTGCCAAATATCAACCACAACCGTGAGACTGCTGGGCAAAATCCACCAATTTTTATACTGCCTTTCATTTTTAAGTGCCTTTTTCCTTTGCTTTATTTGGTTTTTGTACTACTGTCAATAAAACATTTCCACTCCTGAAAAGAGACTAAATTGGAAAATTGAAGTGTTTCACTTTCTAGGATTAGGTTGTGTTCGTCTTAAAAATGAGAATGCAATTCTGCAACATAACTTGAATAAAAATTATACAAAGGACACTTCTTAGAATATTTCTTGATTTTGCTATCTTCCGTTGAAGTGTCTACAACATTTTTATGAGTTGCTGTGTATTCAAAACAATTAAACATAACTCCTTATTTGTGTGAACAATCTGAGACCGTTTGGTGATATGAGAAATGAGGACTGTTACACTCAAACCTATACATACTTTGAATGACGCGCAACACACAAAATCAAGTGCGATTAGATTGGTCAGGATTATACTGACCTGCCAACGGCTAGACGCTAGTGAGTAGGACTCGACGGCAGACATGACACTTTATCAATGTGGAGGAGGTACGGGTACAAGTTATACCAATGCCGGTGTTGTATTACTTTTTTTCTATAGTAAACTGCTGATATGAGCGGTACGGAAGTAGCGTTACTACTACTACATAGGCGCTTCGGTAAGACGCTGGATACAGTTGAAAGAATCCATTTACGCTAAGGGAAGAGTCTGATATACAACTATTTTTTAAATCTACAACCAGGATAATAACAGCAGTTGTATGTAATTCTTAAATATAATTTTTTTGTTTATTTGAATCATCTATAGATTTGCCACATGTTTACTAAAATTACACGTATAATTAAAGTAATAAATAAATACTTAATAAAATTACTTTTTTCAATTTTAAACATATTTAAATTTTTAAAATACAGAAAACAGTATGAAGCTTCACGTTAGTCTACAGTACCGCCTACTGTACCACTTTTTTTAATGTATATGATTTTAGAGATAATATTTCTGTTTGTCTTTGATGCATTGATATTTATAATAATAACCCTATTATTTTAAAATTTTAGGATAATAACAACTGTAATTGCAGCAAATGTGATATATTATATAGCAGTACCGATTTTCCAGATAAATCCACATCTCGTTACACAACTGCAACGGTAATTATTGTGTTGCTTTAATAAAATAAGTATACTATAAATGTTTTTTAAAGAAAAATCAAAAATTATATAAGTTACGAAAAAAATGGCTCGAACACATCGATTTTAAAATTTATTCTTATAGTCCAAGCTGTAAAGAAAAATATAAATGTAACAATAAAACACTGAAAACTTTGTTTTCAAACTTCCACAAAATTTATTTTAACTCTTATCACTACAGCTGTGTTTGGAAAAATATGTGCGAGTTCATTTCATATTTTTACAGTTAATATTTTTTCTGTTACGGTACGGTTCTGTTATATGACCTAATTTGGGTGCTGTATTTCAATCTTTTAAAATATACTATTTCCTGTGAGTTCGTTTGAGCCAGTTTGAGTAAAACTCAAACTGGCTCTCATTTATCATGTTAACGTACGCAGAATTGGGTTTTTTCTTTGTATTCTATGTCAAAAAAGATTGAACCAAGTGGTTGATTTATGGCACTTGCATCTGTTCAGACCACCCAACGATCAGAAGGCGGTTTGCCCTGGTAGCGATCTCAAGACAGACATTTTGCCACTTCTTCCTCACGAGTGAACGAAAACACATTGACCGGTCTTGTGCTATCTCGGCGACGCGGCGTCCGTCGTCCCGGGCGTCGGTACCACTGACCAACTCTACAGCTTTGGTACGAATTCATCAATCGAATCAGAGGTGAGTCTATTCTTGTATAAAACATTGATAATGAGTAAACCAGTTTATTTCTAATTTATTTCTACTTTTACAATTTATAATTGCTATTTTCACCAATTTTATGTATCAACAATATCACATTTTTTCGTTATAATTATTTATTCAATATAATTTAAACCAGCGACTTCTCAAGTTTAATCCTAAACAAGCTGTTTCGGCTGATTGCCTTTCTCAAGTGATCTATTTTTGGCATGCGTTTACAATTTGTTTGAACTGCAGAACTGTTTTTCTCAAGTTGGTCATTCAGAATTATATCTTTGTTTTTTAATTTGTTGATTTTCATAGATTCTAACAAAGATAGCTTGAGGCCTTTATTTTGAATGTGAAGAATTTTAAATTTGTCATTAAAAGAATGATTATGTCTAGAATGTGAAGTGCGTATGTCGAATCCGTTTTTTTATTATTGAAAGCCCTTTTATGTTCTGCTATTTTTTTATTAAAGTTGCTACCAGTTTGACCGATGTAAGTTTTTGGGCAGTCGCCACATTGAAGTTTGTACACGCCACTATTTAAGTATTTTTTTATTTTGGCTCTTTTAATATATTTTCCTAGGTTGTTATTTGTTCGGAAAGCTGGTGTTATTCCTTTCTTTTTTATGTGTTTGGCTATTTTTGTAGTTATTTTGCCTGTATATGTAATCGAGCAGAAGGTACTGGATTTTTTCTCTGGTGGTGGAAATACTAATTTCAGGGCTTTCTTGTGTAGTTTTTGATTTAACATTTTATTAATTGTTTGTTCGTTGTATCCGTTGTTTACTGCTATTTGCTTAATTATATTTAATTATGTCTTAAAGTTGTATTTTGACATCGGAATTTCTGTTAATCTATGTAACATACTATGATAAGCTGCCAGTTTATGTTGTGTTGGATGGGATGATGAATTGTGTATAGTCATGTCAGTATGTGTAGGTTTATGAAATATGGAGAAGTCATGTTTGTTTTTAAGTCTGATAATTTTTAAATCTAAAAAAATTATGGATTGATTTTGTTCTGTTTCTATTGTAAATTCAATATGACTATGAAGTGAATTAATATGCGGTAAAAATTGGTCGAGTTGCCTCACCACCAATATAGAAATTGTTTGAATACGGGATGTTTTGAAATCTTTGTCTCTAGATGGTCCATAAAAATATCTAATAGTAATGGGCTTAGAGGATAGATATTACGGAGATTCCATACTGTCAACGGACGTGTCAACGGACGCATATCGCTGGAAAATTATGAATCGTCAACACGAGTATCCGTTCGTTAACAAGAGCCCTTTAGAGTGAAAGTGAAGGGTAGTAACGACCGCCCAAACCTTTACTACAATTTAAACAAATTAAATTAACTCCTCTTCTACTGGTCAAACTTTTCTTAATCTTTGTCTTGACTTTTTTGACAAACCTATCTTGAAAAAAAAAATAACCGATCGGATCTTTCGAAGTCTCATTTGATTTATTATTAAAAGAGCTGCAATGTAATGCTATTTGCATATATATATATATATATATATATATATATATATATTAATATATATTATATATATAGAATGTTTACAAAGGTTATTTCAAAAATAAAAAATAACAAAAAATTGACATTCTTAGACTTTTAATCGGTAATTTTGCATAAACTAGAGTGTCAAGTAAAGTCGTCCCAGGAGCGCAATTCAACAATATTGGCAATTTCATTTTAAAGTCGTCTACTTTAAAATGCATAATGTATGTCTGAATTGTCAATATAAATGAGTCAGATAAAATTAAATTATTAGAAGAATTTTTTACTATGTAACAAAAAACAAAATTTGTTTAATTTACTGTTTGTATTTTGAGAACGATTTCCGAAGTGGAAATTGAATCGTCAATAAACGTATTTTTATCTTTAATTGTGGCTTATTCCCAGTTAAATAGTAATTAATTTAAAATGCCACAAGAAAATAGCTTCAGAACAATGTCAAATTAATGTAGCATAGCTGAAATAAAAGCTTTTTATATCTGCTTTAATATTTTACTCATTTTACCCTAAAATACTGATTAGATAGTACATTAAAAATAAAAATAGTCAAAAAACACCGTTTTTTCACCTAAAAGTGCTATAAAAAATATAACCAACAATATCGAGTTGTAAACACTTAGAGGTTACTCCAGGCATTTTTTTTCTCTACAGCTTGGGCTATAATAATATCTGACGGTATCAAGGTTTCGCTATTTTAACAAACTGTCATTAGGTGACAGCCACACCTTCAAATTTTGGCTAGATGGTCATATGACCCTTTATTTGAAAGGTTATCAAAATATTATTCCAAAAATATATTACACTTATTTTTTTGCCCATTTATTAAATAATTAAACAGTAAAAATTAGCAAAAATAAAAAAAACTGTTACATAAAAAAATCTTAATGACAAAAATTTCATTTCTTAGGTGTTTCAAATGTTCACCTTTTATCTGGTAAAAGTTGTATAACCTAGCTTTTGTTTTTTCTCCAACATTTTATATTTCTTATTATGTTATGATACCTTGAACTTTAGGTAAAAAGTAAAGTTCATGTAACCTTCTGGCTAAGGTCTAGTGTTAGAGTTTTCAGGGCGCGCAAGCGCCCCTAACATGACTTAACGACTACTTTTGTAGCCGGGACCGACGGTTTTACGTGCCCTCCGAAGCACGGTGGCTTTGTCCGTGCCCGGAACTTTGGGTAATCCCACAAGACTCGAATAGGGTAAGATCCGGCGATCTCGATGTCATTCTTTACGTCCACGGTATTCTTTCGTCGTGGAAGAACTCTAGTTAAATAATTTTGGACCCTGCTTTCACAATAGAGCTCCTTGTTAAAAAAGTATGTCTTGGTAAAAATCTTGTGGATCGGGTTTCAAAAAATTTACAAATACAGGATGTTAAATACTGTTAATTAATTTACGGGTAAGAAATCTCTGATTAAAAATGCTTATGACTCGTGTATTCGCAGCTCTCAATTATTTTCCAATATGTAAAACACAGACCCACAGAATGGCCAAAAAGATCACCGGATCTTACAAAATTAGGTTTTTTCTTTATGAGTTCAAGGTATACAAACAAATCTACAAAATATCGCTGATCCACGGGAGTTATCAGATGAATGGTGAAATTTGAAACGGACAATGCACTAAAATTTTGAGTTTCTACTAGTGTTATAACTTATTATATCGCTTGGAACAAATTTATATTTAATTAGTTAATAAATAAGCAAAAATGATTAGTGTAATATATTTTTGTAATAAAATTTTAATAAAGTTTGAAATAATGTGACCCCCTTTTGTTATTTAAAAAAATTTAAGTATGTAGTTTTTTTCTTAGTATAGTTTGTACTACACTAGAAATAACTTTATCATATTTGTCCATTATAGTGACGAATGAGGCGCTTGCATAATCCTTAGTCGTAAAGAGTGCTGATACATGAACATAGGTTAATCAAAATGTGGTTCTTGTGCAAATACCACAGCAGGGGCATCAGCACTTTTGAGAAAATCATTTTGCTGCAGCTACACTAACAAATTTATCTTTGGAGTTTCAATTATTGTGATCACTGGCATTGACGGAGACCCTAATGTTAATGAAGTTTCTACGGTTTTATTTACTATTGATCCTTTTATAACTTCGGTTCTTATTGAATACCCCCTTTTTGAATATGCACAATTATTTATTTTGCCACTAATATCCTTTACGTTTTAAACTAAGAAATGCAGAGCATTTACAATAGATTTTCAGTTTGGTAGGAAAACGCTTTTCTGTGATACAGTCTTCTGGTAAGAGATTCGCTCGTTTCGCATTATAAATATTCTTTTAAAAAACACTTTTTTAACAGCACAAACACCCAAAATAAACTTTTATTTACACTAGCAAATATTATAGTTATAATTCAAAATATAAAATTCAGACTGAAAAAGGTGGTCTTACAATGTTTTATTTATAATTATTACACTTGTTGACTTTACTGTTCTAGTACGTCGCAACTGATGTTGCAAGGTTTCGGACTATTCGGTGCTGATAGGCGATAACTTCTTATTGAATCTGCATGATCGAATAAACTAGATTCTAGCGGTCAATGTATTATAACTACTTTAACCTCTAAAGAAGTTTTGTGATGGACGAACAAAAATGGTGCATCAGCTTCTTCTGGAGTTCATTTGCTAGAATTTGTTTCCCTATTGTTTTATACCTGTAACCGATGTAAAGGCAGATTATTGTACTATATATATATATATATATATATATAATATATATATATATATATATATTATATATATATATATATA